CCCCCGCCCCCCGCCAGTCTAACCAAAAGCGTGAAAAATAATATTACAGGAGAACAGCAGAGCAGGGGCTGAGGCTTCTGATAAATGCACTCTGAAGTGGGGCAATTTTGGTCTTGACTGTATCCAACTACCCACTCCATCCGTGTGACAAAGCAAGTGCCTCCAAAAGAGACCTGACTAGAGCAGGTCATGTTGGCAGCTCTGTTATTCCAGAGGGAGCTAGCATAAAACCTTGTACTGTGGTTTGTACTAAGAAAGAACAGAGCATTAGGTGTATTTTCCTTTCTGGCAGCTTTGCCATAGGGAAAAGTAGTATCTATTGAAAATGGCAGCCTCTTGCACTGTGTCAGCTGATTTGCTGTTAAATTACAGGCTATTTTTAAGGCTTCTATGAGAATGTACTATGAAAGAATCACTAAATATTAACTTTCAGTTAGGGCACTATAGCTTGAATGCATATTGATCAGGAAGGGATATATGTACAGTTTAACTTGTCAAGAACGTACGTTCTTAAATCCAAATGTTTGATCTAGATTATAATGTTTCCAAGAGTATTTAAGTTCCATAAGAATCTTAAGCTTTCAGTTTAAATTTTTCTGTCATCATATCACAGGACTTTATGCAGCAAGAGTGGAATAATGGTCTCTCCCACCCACAGCCCCAGCTGAAGCTAACACTCACAGATAAACAGCACTGTCATGAGACAGAATCAGATTTTACTACACTCTGAGCTGCAGCCTGTTACCACTGCTATGGTCTGTGACTTGTGGAAGAAACGATGAGGTGGCAGATGCAGCTTCCTATCTGTTTTAGCCATCCTCCATCTCTCTCATACAGAAACTGCTGCTTCTATGTCAGAGGGCTTCAAGAACCTGGCCAGCCCTGAGGCAGTACTCCGCTATTAACTCGTGTGCTGTACGAAGCTGGTGACACAGTGCCCTGGGTACAGCATAGTGCATCTTCAGTTGGTGTGGGCTGATGCCCATTCACATGCAACTCTCACTTTTGTGCTGTGTTGCTGAACTTGCTATTAACAACTCTTTTTAAATTTTTTTATTTATTACTATACAGGTAGAATGTTCCCAAGTCTCCAGACTGAAAGAAGTAGCAAAACTAAACTTCTGTACTGACAGGTCAGGTGATAACGTGAACAGTAGCAAAGACTTAGCAGGCCTGAATATTGCTGATTTCTTCTAATTTACATAGACTATAGTACATTGCTTTTCTAGGGGAAGTTGTCCCTCTAAAGGAAAACTCCAAGCTTGAGCTAGTTGAGCATACTTGAAAAGTATCAAATAGCTCCTGCTTGATGTATAAAATGAGCAAAATTAAACAGAGATAGTTGCTAAGAGTATACATTTTCTAGTTTATTTACTAAACTAAAGTTAATTTAGCTTGAGGGAAACGGGATGAAGTTCATGAGGACAGTAAATAAGGTTTACATATAACCAGAGGTTCAGTACCTGACTGTAGAGTCCTCCTCTGCCGATCAGAACCCCCATGTCTTTACAGTCCTCCCAGATCTGACCGATTTCTTCAGATGGAAGAGGGTGGCGACTGTCCTAAGGAAAGTGAACATTAAACTTCACTTAGAGATTCTAAATCAGTTCTATGAAAAAGATGTATATTCCAATCTCTCCAATAAATCCTCACCCCCTGCCCAACTCTGGGTGAAAATATTAGCTGCGCAATTTATTTGCTTTCTAAGATGGGTTTATGCAATTAAGGTACCCAAGTCACTGTTTACTGAACACTTGTGAAATATTTGAAATGCTGGAATGTTCTGGCTCATTTTTAGCCAGAGCAACGTTTTTTCACTTCACTAGCTGTTTTTTAATAGAAAATCTTCCTTTTATTTCAACTGAAATAAAATGTGATAAAACTTTAAATGGTATTGTAAATTGAAAAGAATAAAGTAAATTACTAACCTTATCTGTCACCATTTCTACTCCAATCATAAGTCCTTTGCCACGGACATCTCCAACAATCTCAAATTTATCCCGTAGTTTAGCCAACTCCAGTAGCATATATGTTCCCACATTCTCACTGTTCTTTTGTAGACCATCTTCTTCAATAGCCTGGTTAAAATGATGTACTATGACAGTGTTGCAGGAAAAGCTTCCAATACAGTAGGTTAATCCTTATTTAGCCTGATGACATGTAATGTTTATCTCACTTCCTTGAAGACTATGTTCCTTCACTACTATGGTCCTTATATTTTTCATCTCTTACAATCCTCTAATGGCATCAGAGTACAAATGAACATAATATTTTGGTGTTGCTGTGGCATTTTTCACATTCTACTTATTATTCCACAGATATAATCCAGTAATTCATGCTCACATGTAGTTATAACTGAAAAATACCTGACCAGCAGGATTATTTTCAAAATCTTACCAGAAATATTTTAATTCAAGAATATAATTTGACAAGGCATACCTCTGTGTACTAGGCAGCCTTTTAGGCAACAACTTCAGTGTTTTAGTTAGATTCATCAACACCATGCTTTTTAATCAGATATTTTTTTTTTTTGTTCCTTACTCTTTGCTCCTTAATCAAAGTTCTGACATGCAGCCAGCTATCAGCACT